ATTCATGACGCCAGAAAATGTTTTATGAAATTATTTTAAACAAAGTACAGGTTCGGGGAATGATCGGAGCAATGAATAAACACTCACAGGCTGTTTCTGCTAGAATAATAAGTGTAATTTATTAAACTGCCACAGATACAGCGAAGCAAAGCACAAGTACATTAAGTACTGATGTAAAGCCCCTTACCGTGACACCGACTGGGGAGCCTTTTCAGTCCGAGTAGAAAGGTAACATCAATTGGCTGGGCATCGGATCAGGATCCACAGCAGACTCCAGCTCTTATTCTGAGTGTTACACTTTAATACTCTCTGCATTACGTGGGAACATCTCCCAGTAAACAAAACATGCCCACCTGGACTTAAAGTCTGTGAAAACCCTCGAGATAGCGTGAGAGCGTGAGAAGCTTAAAAACCTCTAGATAGCGCAAGAGCGTGAGAAGCTAGGGTGAGAAAACCTCAAGATAGCGTGCGGGAGGAGGCGGGCCAAGCCTCCTCTTCAGTCCTCTGGGTGACTCACAACAACATGCACCAAAAACTCTTTATATCACAGGTTAAATAGTCAGAAAAACAACATTTTATTAAACTCTCAACTCAAGGGCTAAGGTACTGAATTGGATACACACCCACAAGTTTTCTTGTAACCCTGGCACTTCTCGCATGCTCTCTCTTACAAGGAGACATTTCTGGTGGCCCACCCTCGCCGAAGATGTGAAAGGGTTCGTAGCAGCCTGCCCCACCTGTGCACGCAATAAGACCGGTAACCAACCTCCTGCCGGCCTGCTACAACCTCTGCCCACTCCTAGCCGTCCCTGGTCTCACATCTCGGTGGACTTCATCACGGGTCTACCCTCCAGCGAGGGAAACACCACCATCTTAACCATCATCGACAGGTCCTCCAAAGTGGCTCATTTTGTTCCCCTGTCTAAGCTGCCATCTGCATTTGAGACCACCCAGTTGTTGATTCAGCACGTCTTCAGAATACATGGTATACCCTCTGATGTGGTCTCGGACCGTGGTCCACAATTTGTTTCCCAGGTCTGGCGAGCCTTCTGCAAAACTTTAGGGGCATCCTCCAGTCTCACATCAGGGTACCATCCGCAATCTAATGGCCAGGCTGAGCGCTGTAATCAGGAACTGGAGACCACTCTTTGTTGCATCGTCGAGAGAAACCCCTCGGCCTGGAGCCAGCACCTGGTGTGGGTGGAGTATGCCCATAACACCCATAAGTCATCAGTCACAGGTATGTCCCCTTTCAAGGTCTCCATTGGCTATATCCCTCCCTTGTTCCCCAGCCAAGAGACCAACGTTTCTGTTCCATCGGTTCAACACCATTTTCGCCGATGTCGACGAATCTGGCGACAAGCTAAGGCAGCACTTACACGGACTGCAGCCCAAAACAAGAGATTTGCTAATCGTCACCGTGCCCCAGCTCCATCTTACCAGGTGGGTCAAAGGGTGTGGCTTTCCACCAGGGACATCCACCTCAAGGACACACCCAGGAAGTTGGCGCCCCGGTTCATCGGTCCATTTCCCATCATTAAAATCATAATCCCTCTGCCGTACGTCTTCAACTCCCCAGCTCGATGAAGATCCATCCAACCTTCCACATCTATCAGATTAAACCTGTAACAGTGAATCCCTTGTGCCCTCCGGCCGACCTCCCTCCACCCGCCCGGTTAATTGACAACCACCCGGCCTTCGGTGTCAGGACCATCCTGGACGTGCGACGCCGAGGGTGGGGTTTCCAATACCTAGTGGACTAGGAGGGTTATGGACCTGAAGAAAGATCATGGATCCCTCGGTCTTTTATCTTAGACCCAAGCCTCATCACGGCATTCTTCAGCGCTCACCCTGAGAAGCGCCTCAGGTCGCCTGGGGGCGACTCTTGGGGAGGGGGGGTACTGTAAGAGTCCCACTGCCTGCAGCTCCTCCTCCAAGATGGCCGCTGATTACCACCAGCTGTCGTCCATCCACCCAAGAGACTCCTCTACTATTTAAGGCTGCAGTCCAGTGTGACTCATCGCTGGAGCATTGTACCCATTTTGTCATCCTGCTTCCTCAAGTCCTGTCCTGTTCTGGAACCCCCGTTGTCTCTGGTTCCTGCTCCCTGTGCCTCGCCTTCCAACCACACGCCAGTTCACCTGCCTATCCGTGTTTAGCACCGGCGCTTCCATCTGTAAGAGAGATACAAGCGTTCATTCTCTGTGTACAATCCTACAAGTGGACCTTCACTGAACCAACTCCTTTTCCCAGGATCTTCCGAAGAGAGGACCACCTGTAAATAGCACTGTATATAATAAACACTGTAATCTTTTTCTAAACCGTATTTTGTCCTTTATGGTCTCGTACAAATCTAGGTTCCCCGCGTTATGACAGGGTCAGCTTGGGTTTCCTGAGCTGTCCCTTAGTTATGCTGCTATAGGCTTGGACTGCTGGAGGACAAACTGACCACAATTTTCACTCTACTTCTGTCTTTACTTACTCTGCTCAACCTGTTTTGTATTTGTAATTATTTTTTCTATCCTTAACATGTGTTTTTTTGTCTTTCAGATACACCTGGACCTATACCTGGACCTACCATTCTGTGTTCGTTTGTCTCTCTTTCCTGTCCTCTCAACCAGCCTGTCAAAGTAGATGGCCGCTTGTCCTGAGCTTGGTTCTGCTGGAGGTTTCTTCCTTTTAAAAGAGAGTTTTTCCTTTCCACTGTTGCCACTGTGCTTGCTCAGGATGGGAGACTGCAACGAAGGCAAGATTCATCTTGTCTGCTGGATTCCTTAGATAGAGAACTTTACTAATTGGCTTTTATGTATGTGAATGTTTCTGTAAAGTGCCCTGAGACAATTTTGTTGTGATTTGGCGCTATATAAATAAACTGAATTGAATTGTAATCAATGGAGGGAAGGAAAGTCACAAATACAAGGCGTTTTCTAGCATTTAGGTTTAGACAGGATCTGTTTCTGAAAAAGAAACCCAGTTTAACTTTCAGTTTCTTTACCAAGTTTTCCACATGAAGCTTAAAAGAGAGATGCGAGTCGACCAAGATCCCCAAATATTTATAGGAATCAACAAACTCAATCGGAACACCATTTGAGGATAAAATCGGAGGAAGAGCAGCTGGGACCAACTTCCTATTTGAAAAAAGCGTCCCTTTGGTTTTGTCGGCATTTAGGACAAGTTTGAGGCAGAACAAATCTGTCTGGATGTTGTTGAATGCAGATTTCAAAAGCTGGAAAGCCTTATCAACAGTTTTAGCTCAACAATAGACAACTGTGTCAACAGCATAGAAATGTATGGATGCACTAGGGATGTTTTTACCTACATTATGTATGTAGATTGTAAAGAGGGTGGGTCCTAAGACTGAACCTTGTGCTACACCATTGTTGACTGTTAAATAACTGGAGGAAGTACCATTACGTTGAACACATTGCCTGCGGTCTGAGAGATAGTTAGAGAACCAACCAATGGTGTGTTCTGAGAAACCGATTTCTGAGAGCTTATGACACAAGATGTTATGATCCACAGTGTCAAAAGCTTTAGACAGGTCTAAGAAAAGTGCAGCACAATAATCCTTAGCATCCAGTGCTTCAACAATGTCATTAAGAACCTTCAGTGAAGCAGTGGTTGTGCTGTGTTGTTTCCTGAAACCAGATTGAAGGCGAGGTAAGATGTTAAATGAGTCCAGGTAATTTTTGATTTGAGAGTTTATCAGTTTTTCTAGAACCTTGGCTAAAATGCAGAGTTTAGAAATTGGTCGATAGTTGTTTAGTGAGGTGGGGTCACCTCCCTTCAGCAAAGGAAGAACAAAGGCTGTTTTCCAAGCGTCTGGGATGGAGTTTTGGTTTATGGAGAGATTAAAGATGTGGGTCACAGGGACTGTGATGATATGAGCAGCGAGCCTTAAAAAATAAGGTGGAAGTTCATCTGGTCCTGCAGATTTTTTAGGATCAAGATCTTTTAACAGTTTATTAACCTCACTGACTGAGAATGGAGAAAAAGAGAAGGTGTGATTAGCTGAGGATTGACTTGTAGGAGGGATTTGATTTGTAGAAGTTTGGTTATTAAGTGAAGTGGCTGATTTTCCATTAGTAACTGTGTCAAATAAAGAAATAGAAGCAACAAAACGTTTGTTGAAACAGTTCAGGATCTCGTGCTTATTTGACACAGGAACAGAGTTAATGAGAAGTTGTGATGGGAGGTCAGATGATTGGGGGGTGCCTGAGAGAGATTTGATGGTTTTCCAGAATCTGTTAGGGTCATTTAGTTGTTTTTTTTTTTTTTTGTCTGAGATAAGAAATAGTTGTGTTTTGCTGCTTTGACGGCAGTTGTACATTTATTCCTCATCTGTCGAAAACTCAACCAATCATTGTCTGAGTCAGATTTTCTCGCTGCAGCCCAAAGATGATCTCTCCTGTGCAGGAGGTCAGCTAGCTCTGGAGTAAACCAGGGGCTGTCTCGTCCCTTTATTCTGAACTGACAAAAAGATAAAGATAACGATCAATTTTGAAATGTTCAATACGCTTAAAAATCAAAATAAATTGACGATTACACTGACTGGTGTACTTTGGTTTTTAAACACAGTATACCCAGTACAAAAATGTAGATTATATCACTTCTACATGTTCCATGCTAAACTCTCTTATAAAAACTGACAACTTTACAGGAAGTTATTGAATTTTATAATTACATCTGAAGAAGAACTTAGTCCCTCACGGGGATTTTCTTTAAATGTCACTAATATACTTCTGTACTCGCTTAGGATGGGAGACTGCGACGAATTGAAAACTCGAATCATTCTGCTGGCTCATTAGATAAATATTGTTATAACTGATTTTTATGTACGTGAATGCTTATGTCCAATGTCCTGAGACGGCTTCTGTTGTGAATTAAATAAACTTAATTAATTGAATTGATTTTTTTCTTTTGTAATACCAAATCTTGGCGTCACACGTTACCGTGACGTCATGACGTTCGAGTAGTACGCGCCGGAGTAGGGTGAGGAGATGGCGGATGAGGAGGCCGAGCAGGACTCTTGTCCTGTGGACAGTATTCGTGAAACGACCGTGGAACTCAGGAAACGGTTGGAAGACTTACAAGCTGCGCTGAGAGACGGTACCGGTTCTGCAGTCCAGTCCTCCTCGGAGTACTGCCAGCAGTTCTGCACGGTGAGCTATATTTAGCCTTTAGCACACAACAAGCTAATCGCTAACTTATGAGCAGAATCTGCTGCTGGACTATTCGCCTAAAAGTCCTCTTTAAGATCCGAGCGCCGTTTTTTCTGATTCTCAATATTTAAATAAGCATTTTAAAAATCGATGCATGTATGTGAAAATACAATGTAATCAGATTTATTACCGTTCACCAGTGCTCTCCACTCACCATGTTGACATGATTTTACTAGCATGTGCTAGCGTAAAGCTGCTCATGTCGGGAAATGATCGGTAGTCGTCGACTTTTTGTAGTCAAAAGGCTTTTTTCAGTAGTTCGTTTCTTGACTTGTTTTCATTTTGGTGCTAACATTTATTTCTCATGTCCACGATGACCGCTTGTACCTGAGCAGTTAGTTCTCTGTTAGCCTGTTAGCTTCTGTCCATGTTGTTCAGCAGTTGTTGTTTAAAAAAAAAAAAGAAAAAAAAAAATATATATATATTATTATTTAGCCCTCGGGCTTTCGAAACGACTCAGGTTATAGTGTACTTGTTGTCACACGGGACCTTTTAATGACGGTAAGGAGACATGGTGGAGCAGCATTGTGATTTGTCGACTTGTGGGGTGTACGTGCTGAATGAAACGTTTCATCACAACATGTTCGCCGGGCCTGGCTCTGTGCGTGGTGGATGATCCCCAAGGATCCAGCATCATTGTTTCAATTTTGTTGGCACTTTAAATTTTTTATCCTATATTTTTAACCGTATTTTTACAGTTTTTGTGTGGCTCACACATGTCTTTTTTTTTTTTCTATTTATTTTTTTGTTTGTTTTAAAGTTCTAAACATAAATATTATTCTGTTGCACATCTACAAGTGACTCCCAAACTAATAGTTTATTACAACACGTTTAGATTTGATTGTGTTTTTGTTATGTTATTATTTATGGAGCTCTGTATGAAAAGAATTGTGTGCAAAATAATTATACAAAGAGAAATGTTGTTGACCAACCATGGATGACGAAAGGGTTGAGAAGTGCTTGTAAAAAAAATAATTATTTGTATGTTTCTTGAAATTGAGAACACAAGAGGCTGAAGAGAAATATAAGAAGTATAAAAATAAATTAGTAGCGATTATAAGGAAACACAAGAAGGAATATTATAGTGATTTATTAAATAAAAGTAATGGTGATGTGATGATATGAAAGCTACATGGCGAGTAATAAATAGTGTTCTAAAAAGTCATAAAGCAAAAACAGGTATTTCACAATATTTTTTGAAGGATGACAATGAAATCCATGATGAAAATGAAATTGTAAATGGATTTAATCATTATTTTGTGAACGTTGGATCAAGCCTTGCAGCTAAAATACCAAAAGTAGACAATAATGTGAACCATTCAGTTATAGGTTGTGACAACAGTATTTTTCTTAATGGAACTGACAAAGAAGAAATAATGAATGTAGTAAAAAATCTTACAGATAAGAAATCAAAAGACTGGGTGGACATGGATATGATGTTTGTAAAGGACATACTGAGTTATGTTATCGAGCCGTTTACATATATTTGTAATTTATCATTTTCAAAAGGAATATTTCCAGACAATATGAAAGTAGCAAAGGTAGTTCCTCTCTTTAAAAATGGTGATAAATGTGTGTTCAATAATTATAGACCAATATCCTTATTACCACAGTTTTCAAAAATTCTAGAAAAACTATTTGTGACCAGATTAGATAAATTTATTACTAAACAAAACATTCTAATTAGTAGCCAGTATGGGTTTAGAGCAAAAAATTCTACATCAATGGCTCTCATGGAAATAATAGAACAAATAACTACTGCTGTCGATCAAAAACAGTATTGTTAGTATTTTTGTTGATTTAAAAAAAAACATTCGATACTATTGACCACAATATTCTCCTTAAAAAATTAAATAAATATGGTATAAGAGGACCAGCATTACACGGGGTATCTAGCTATTTAAAAGATAGGAAACAGTTTGTACAAATAAATGGTGTAAGATCTGACCTGTGCAATATCACTTGTGGAGTTCCTCAAGGCTCTGTACTTGGACCAAAGTTATTTATTTTATATGTGAATGACTTAGTGAATGTATCAGGACTCCTCAAATGAGTCCTTTTTGCAGATGACACCACATTTTTTTGTTTGAGTAAAGATGTAAAACAGATGTTGGAATTGATGAAGACAGAATTTGATAAAATACAAACTTGGTTTAAAATTAATAAATTATCATTAAATTTAGATAAAACTAAATACATGATATTTAGTAACGAAAAGAGAACTGTTGACGACCCATTTAAAATTGAGGGTGTTGAGATTTGTAGAGTTAATGAGATGAAATTTTTGGGTGTAATCATTGATGAACAGCTAACATGGAAAAATCACATAAATTCTGTAAGAACAAAAATAGCTAAATCTATTGCAGTACTATACAAAGTCAGGGAATTATTAAATGATAAAGCTCTGTACATGTTGTATAACACAATCATTGTTCCACATTTAATCTATTGCATTGATGTTTGGGGGAAAGCATGTAAAACATTTACAAAGCCTATTTTTATTTTACAGAAAAAAAGCAGTAAGAATTATCACCAGAAAGCATTACAGTCACCCATCAAGCATATTATTTTATCAACTGAAGTTATTAAAGTTCCATGATTTGGTAGATAATAGTATTTTATCAGTTATATATAGGGCTCAAAATAACACATTACCATTAAATATCCAAATAAATTTTGTTAAAAGACAAAGTTGTTATAATCTTAAGGGGATAGAAATATTTGTCAAACCAAAATTCAGAACTAGTCTGAAGGGAAGGTCTACCTCAATCCAAGGAGTTGGATTGTGGAATGGTCTAGAGAGTGATGTAAAAAATGCCAAGTCAATGTGTACATTTAAGAAAAAGATCAAAGCTGAATTGTTAAAAAAGTATATATGAAGTAGCTTCGTGTGTGTTTTGTATTAGAATTAGAAAAATTAGGAAAATTAGAAAGAGTTATTAATTTTGTTCTGTTACTTGAAAATTATTATGATTGAAATAATTGTTTGAAAAAAGGGGCAGATATAATAAGATTTTTTCTTCTTTCTGCTGCCTTTCATTTTAAATCTTTTTTATCTTTTTTTTATATTGTTATGGAATTGTTTTGTACTTTTTTAAAATGAATAAACTTTATACCATACCATACCATTTAGCAAGCTTTGAAAAACTTGCACAGCATTTTTTAGCATTAGCATTGTTCTTGCTCAAATTTTGTATAGATGATTAAAAGAACCAGACCTCTTTGTCTGATATTCAAAACAACAGACAGCTGTGTTATGGCTGCAGGCTCCTCCAGCCACTCTGTAATAATTTGAGCTTGATGATGAGTCTGATGCTGCACATATTGATGGATGCTGGGATGTAGGATGTGTGTCCACTACAGCCCGACCAATATAGAAATTTTGGCTATTGCTGATAATAATAATGGGAGGGGCAGGCTAATGCCGATAGCTGCTATAATGGCTGAACTTTTTTTTTTTTTATCTTTGTGTGTCCCCCCCCCCCAAGAATCTTAAGTAAACAGCTACTTTTAAACCTGTTTTAACACTTGAAGTCTTGAAACAGTCTTCCTAACTTGCATTCACATTATCTATCCTCTGCTATTGGGTTTGGTTTGTCATATGCAAGTCAACACAAGGTCAACATATGAAGTGCTGAGGATGAGAAGAACTGTCTCGACTTGTCCCTCCAAAAAACAAAAAAACAAGAAGAAATACCAAAGCATGCAAAAAAAAAAAATACAAAGACAAGGTGCCAAAGGTGAAATACATCTACAGCAGCATGGTCCTATTGGCAGTGAGGTTATCTTAGCAACATGTTCCTGTTAACACCATGGTACTGTTAGCAATGAGGTTCGGTTAGTGGTGTGGTCTTGTTAGCAGCGTTAGCAGGTCCTGTTAGCAGCATGATGCTAATAACGTCCGCGGGAATGGATGACGACTGCTCTCCAGAACCGGGTCCAGCAGACACAGAACATTTGGGGTTTCCCCGCCGAGCCCAACGGGTCTGCAGTGTTCCGTCCGTGCGGGCAGATGGAGGATCATGGAGACGGCCGCCATGACAGGCCACAGCTGGAAGGAGGCTGGAGTGCAATGTAGGCACAAAAAAATTGTTAAAACAAAAACAACAAGAACAAAACAAGATTGGTCAAAGCGGAGCTCCCGTCAGTGTTGCCATACTGCAACAATGATGTCAGTCATTTCTCTATAATCACCGTAAAGTTATCAAATGTAGGGCTGCAACTAACGATTATTTCAATAATCAATTCATCCGTCAATTATTTTTTCGATTAATCGATGAATCTGCCAAAAAAAAAAAGTTTTTATTTCCACCCCTTTATTCCAAAATTGAACATTTGACTGACATAGCAATTCACATAAAAAACAGGTTGCTATTTGACTATTCTGTTGGTAAAATATTGAATAATAAAAAATAAGTTAGTCACATAGCTTAAAAAAATAAATGTACACAAAAATATTTACAAATGTGTCTTTATACCTACACAATATGTAGCTACTTTGTAAAATGTGTCCTTGAGGGAAGAGTGTAACCTGGATTAAAAGTGTGGAATATTGTAACCTGGATTAAAAGTGTGGATTATTGTAACCTGGATTAAAAGTGTGGATTATTGTAACTTGGATTAAAAGTGTGGATCATTGTAACCTGGATTAAAAGTGTGGATTATTGTAACTTGGATTAAAAGTGTGGATCATTGTAGTGAAGCCTTCGTCTTCAACCATCGACAGAGGCCTCATGTCAGTGATGATCATGTTCAGGATGCTTTCAGTGAAGACAACTGCTGCTGTGGTGTCCATGGTGTCTGTCCATCATGAAGGCTGTTTCTGTTTGTTGTTGTTTTCTGGAATGAGTAAATATGTATTATAGCATAATTTACAGCAACTCAAGAAATGCCTTGTTTCACTTACAGTGTTAGGTTCAGGCAAAAGTAGCTAAAAGAGC